AGTGTTTGGTTTTGGGTAAATAACTTTGTTTCTGTGTGCAAAGTACAGTAATGTAGAAACTAGGATGTTTGGAAAAGCTGTGTAAAAAAATTCCTCTTTTTAAAAACACCTGTGGCTCTGCTTTCTGTGATTAGTATTCGGACTTGTGATGACGCAGAATCGAACTGGTCTGATTTGACCAGATGTCTAATCTAGATAGACTGATGCTTCAGTGGTGCTTTTCTATCCCAACTGAGCTCTCACGGCACATTATTCAATTCTTTTAAAAACTTTCTGTCAAGCTTATTCTTTAACAGATTCTGGCAATTTGGCTTCAACATCCTACACAAACCAAGATGCTCAAGGTCTAATCAGAAAACAGACTAGGGCAGCTGGGAGTTAAATCACCAACCTTCCAATTGGTCAACCCAATGAGCCACAGCCACTCCAAGTTTACAGCACCTTGTAGTCTCAAACAACCTCCCATTCAGGCAGTAAAGAGCCCCAAACTTGGCTTCCAAGATCTGACATAGAGGCGTGCTCAGAGTAGTATGGCTGTAAGGCATATGGTGGCTTCTGATCAGAAATTGAGCATTCAGTCTGTTGTGGCTTGTCACACATGCTGTTGACCTCTTGCATCCACAAGCAAGGGAGTGCTTTCAATAGATCATCACCAGAGAGCGATAAGACGAACCCAAACACTGTCTGCCAGCAAACAGGGAGACTCTAAGACTCTGCACTTAAGATAAGATGAGACTACACAGAATTAACGGTGGATAGACTCAAAGTAAATTATAATGTCACCATTGAACTACTGATTGACAACACCTGAAGAAGAAGGTTATAATGTGAACAGAAGGAACCTTATGTAAAGCTCTATTCAGAACCATGATTAAATTGTTGACTCAGTTCTGTGGCTATTTAATAGGTAACTTTAGCTGTTGCCTTGAAAGCTGAAGCTAATTTTGCTAGCATGCAGGTGTGTAATGTATTTTACCATGATTGTGTTATATGTGGGCTTTGCCTGGGAAAACAGCTGCATAGTTTCTTATCTTATTGGGAAAATATGAAATTTAAAGAACTGTTCAGTATGTGTAAATTCACAGTTAATTTGGATTATAAAGTGCTTCACCCTTAGTGGTTTTCCTCAGTTAGCCAAAGAAGAATAAAGATTGATAAAGATAATGTCAAAATCAAAAAACTGAAGTAGGCTGATTTCATAGACTTCATTATCAGTAGTTAAAGATGTTATTGCAGAAAGCTTTGATCAATCAGAACAGAATATTGCAAATGATGATAAAGATACTAATTTTTAGGTCTTCCTAATGTCAGTGCTGCAAAGCTTGAGCTCCAAAAGAAAATGTTTCATATGGTATGTCTTTTCAACTCCTGCGCCTGGGTAAAAACCTTACAGTTGTCAAAATCTACTCATCCTAATCTGTGGCTTTCCTATTTACAGAGGATAAGACTGATCACACTGTCAGACTTATTGCTAATTTATATCTGATGATTATACTGTGTGTGGATGTTAAACAGTTCAAACGAGGCAAGAGGAATGAAGGCAGTCAGGAACAGTTTATTAGCTTTAACTTTAGAAACCATCAGAAGAAAAGCCGCACGAGACGCTGTGTGAATGTTTATCCTTTCATTTTTCGTTCCATCGCTTCTGTTTGGTTTGGTTTAAACAAAAAAGAGCTGAGCACCAAAAGAGGTGAGGTTTCAAAAAAGACTGTGGCTTGAGTTAAAATTTTACATTTTGAAAACTTGATTTTCTGGGTTGGTGTTTAACCCTTTAGAGCCGATCGGAGCGGGAACGCTCTGTTATGCGTAACTATTTTTAAATCCCAGTAGCACTGCAATCACGTAAGCTAGCGCAAAAATTTTTTTTGCATATGAAACCGGAGGAGTTGTACTTACATCTGATGCCATCAGCTTGTCCTAGGTCACGGTTTCCTTCCACATAAAGCTTTGCAAAAACTGCATAAAAAGCGCTTGCAGGAACAAAAACATAATATTCCAGAAACACGCTTTACCGATCCGATCAGCTGTTCAAAACACTTCCTACGTTGGAATAGACGTCAGCGCGAACTTTTGCATTTCTGCCATTACCTGCCCGAAACCGGAAGTGACGTCATTTTCGCGGAAATGTAGTCTTTTTTGCGATCAGGGCCTCAGGGCCTATACTGCTCTTTTTAAAAGTTATCTTTGACTTTATGACTTTCTGTGTCGTTTCTGGGATGCTTAGGACTCATATTGCACTGCTTGAAATAGTTTATTTTGATGCATATGCTGCTTTTTTGCAAATTTGCAGTATAATATTTATTTTCGTTTTTCCTGCAGTGTATAAAAATTGGTGTATTTCAAAAATAAAACTATGAAGACACTCAAAATTAATTTCCTGTGGTGGGAAACTATTTTGTGCAACTTTTTTGTATTTACAGTTTTGAGGGATAAGCCTCTTAAATTTCTCTAACTACAAATATATGTTAAAAAATCAAAAACGATTTTCAATTTTTTTGTAGTTTATTGCACTTTTTTGCAATTTATGTAATTACTATGCACTTAATGAATACATATTATTAAAATCTGGGCTATAATGGTTGTATTGATGTATAGCAACTTGAAATGCTCCCAAAAATGGCTCCACAGCATGTAAAAATATAATATAAGCTCTGGCGGGCTTGGTTCTATGGTAGGTCTTAAAGGGTTAATGCTTGGCCCTGCCACATGCCAGAGTGTCCTCGGCTGTGAATTTCAAGTGTCTCTGGACAGCTGGTAACAACATGCCATGATTTATCTACTGTGTATGAGAACAGGTGAATATGAAATGCATTGTAAACATTTTTTTAGAACTGTGTAAAGGTCAAAAGTCACTTTATAAACATAGCTCTGCTAGAAGCAAGTGGTGTTATTATTAGTGTGTGCTCAAATATGGGACTTTGCAGGAGTGCTGGACTTTTTCATATTTTAAGTAGCCAGTTATCAGACATTTTTAATCTACTGGCCCCCATATTTCACATATTTTAATTTTGATCATAAGAAAGGCCAGTGAAAATTTCCAGGTTTTATCTTTAATAGTTTTTGAGATATTCATGTTTAAACACTGCTTCAGGTTTCAGTGTGTGAAAAATGGCTTGAAACGTCATAAAATTATTTGAAGTATATGAAGCTAAAATTTCATAGCAATCATTTTATGTCCACACTTTGTGACATAGATTTTTATGCAGAGATGGATGAGCTAAAAGCCCATGTTTATTTGAAATTAATTGAAGCTAGTCTTTCAGCACTGATACGTTTCCCGATGTGCAAGTTGCCAATTCCATAGTGCCATACTATCAGAGACGCAGAGTCTTAAACGAACCCCTGATAAAAAGTTGGGTGATCACTGTACTTATTAGTTTGAAGGATGCAGTGTCCACGTGTTCAGCAGAGGTGAGTGGATGACAAAGGCAGAATGATGAAAAACAGGGCTGAGACAAGACAGACAGGACATGGAAATTTGCTGATGAGTGGTTAGGCTGGTAGCTAATATTGGACATTAAGTAATAATTCTAGAAAGCGGAACAATGAGAATATGGATATCCCCAACAAGGGATACAAATTAAAACAAGGAAGAAGTGATTTTACATTACATAGTTACAGAATTCAACTTTGAGTCTATTATCCCTACAGGAGATTCCACGATCAAATATTGGAGAAGTCATTAAATCATTCTTCATCCACCATGTTTCCTGAACACAGCAGCCTCCCTGGTATGGCAGAGCAGAGCCTTTTTCTTCTGCTCACAGTCTGACTTGATCTTCCTCAGGTGACATATATAGACTGCACACGCAGCCCATATAACCACCGTTATAGTGGTTTGTAAAAAGCAGGGGCTGAAATTGATGACTTGAACCAGTCCCAACATTGAGGCTGAGGACAATTAATCGTGCCTCGTCGTTAAAGACATCTTCTTGTTACAATAGAGCATGCCAAGTCTATCTGTGAAGTCACAATGTAGGAGCCGTGCATACATGCAGGCAGAGAAAGCTATGGCTCCTAATTCTTCTCATTAATCACCTGTCTACTGCACATCCTCTAGAGAAAAGCGCCCTGGTTCCTCTGAGGTAATTACAGCACTTGAAGGAACGCTCTCTGCAGCAAATGCTTATAAGTAGCCATCTTATCCCTCAGTCCTCCTGCCCTTCATTTTTTGTCTGAACCGTGGAGCCAATAGCTTCTATGTCCTCTGGAGAAACTCATTCTGTATTGTGCAGCTCTTGCTCCTCCTCAGCTTTGTAGTCAGCAGGCTTTTCTTTTTTTATTTGCTTCTTTTTTTTTCCAGGCACGCATCCATTTGGCATCCGATGTGGGATAAATAAATTATAGCCTCTAAAATCAATGCTCAGTCCATGATGTAGGCTGTAGGCTTAGTGCTTGCCACCATGCTAGAATTATGCTCAAACAGAGGCATTTTGTAAGCCCAGGAGCCACACTGCTGTTCACTGTTTTTTGTGCCATTGTGAAAAGTTATTCTCGGCTGTCTGACATTTTATTATTCGTCATAAGTTTTCCTAGGCGGTATTACTTTTCACTGCAGAAGCTGATAGAGGTTTTGAGGTGTGATTTGTCTCAGGAAGCTGTTCATTTGTTACACAGCATCCTCGTTTGAACCGCTTTTGTTTTCTTTTCCCACTAAATTCACAGCAGCATCTGGAAGCTGTCTTTAATTTCTCCACAGAAGCACTCAGAAAATCTAAAAATAAATCAGAAACCGTGGCAAGAGTGGCATTTACTTTTAAAGACAGAACAGTAGCGATGCAGTCACTCAGTCCGTACGCTGTGTGTTGATGTGGTTTTGAAAGATTTATAGCCTTTGGTGCATAGATCATGCCGTCTCTCAAGGTTGTCGTAGGACTGTCAGAGTTGGTTTTAGGGTTTCTGACACTGGACTCGCATAAAATGTATCTGTAAACATGTCCTGAAAGTGGCAGGTTTCTATACTTTGCTCATGCTCCCTTTCTCTTTCTCTGCATTTCCAGATGGAGATGATACAAGAGCCCGATCCTGATGACGAGGGGACGAAAATAAGTGTAAGTACAAGAACACATCACGTAGGCCATTGCTTCTCGGCCATGTGCCGTCGTGACCAAAGTTGGCAGTGTTTCATTCCGAGCAAACACAACAGCAGCTGATTTTCTCGAATAATACACCTTCAACCAGAGAAAGGAGCTAATCAGTGAAATCAGTGGCAGTGTATTATTACTGTCAAAGTGGTTCCCTCCCTGCGCTCATGCTCCACCAACTATTCCGCCCCTTTTCCTGACACTCTGTATGCACCTTCTGTGCCCAGTGCACCACACAGCCTTCCTCTAAATGACCTCATTGGAGCCCTCAGACACTCAGGCAGGCATGTGTAATGGAAAGTGACAGATTTACGATCAAGCGAAGTTTGTAGATGCTGGTTTCTTAGAAATTGGGTCAGTGATTTTCTGTGTTATACACGGTCCTTGCCTGTATGACAGTCTTCTAGCAGAAGACGAGTATTTAAATATTCTTTCATTTCAGTAATTAATGTGTTATTATTAAAGGGAACTTATTATGTCTCTTCTTACATTCTGTCATATACATACTCTGAAGTATGTGTGTGCTCTTATGTGTAGTGGTTAATACTTATGGTAGAAGTTGGCAAAGTGTCAAATTATGGGGTCATTTTATGTGAAAGTGAGTCAAAAGCTCAGGCATCCAAGTGGCCTGTTTAAGAAGCAGCCAATCAGAGAAAAAGGTACTCAAATTATGAGTCTCAAATTGAGAACTGGAATACAAAAAAAGTCTCAAACAAGAAGGTTGAGCCAGTATAACTACACAGAGAATCTGTGACCCGAACATGTTATGTTTCCCCATACAGTGTCAGTGTTAGTAAGTATATTTGAAGTTTTGTTAATGTCTGCTGACTGCATGCAAGTATACATTTGCGTCCTGTGAAAAGGTGTCATGGCCGACAATTTTGATTGTTAATATTTAGCGCAGGCACAGCTTCTGAAGCAAAACTGCCACAATAACATTTCTAAAATACCCAATTAAGCTGATTGTAGCATAAGACTGAGTTTGTGTCATTCTTAAAATAAAACAGCAACACAAAAACAGCGATACCATCCTGTTCATCCCTGTACTGGGACTGAAGCATAGAAATGTAGCCACAGATGTAGCAGTGTTGTTCTTTTTTCTGTTGCAGTGCTTTTAGAACAGATTGGTTGTAGGGATGGCATTTAGTCTTTGATTTACCTTTTTGTTAGCACTGAAGTAAAAATGTCATCTCTTTCCCAGAGGCTATTTTCCATTGTGACGTTCTCCCTAAAGCCAACAAAGAAACATACTCTATCCCATCTATACAAATGATGTCCAGTCCCATAATGAACTTGACAGTGTTTTTTTTTTCTTTGTGATAATGTCATGTGAATCAGAAGATGGAAAATTTACATGTGCCTGCACAAAGCTCTACGCTTTTACCAGCATATAAAACCGCTTCTCTTAGATGCCACCAAAATTGTTTTTCATCAACATAAAAACGTTTTTCATTAAACTCAGTCTGCAAAATCACAAAATGTTCATACCGAAAGTGTGTGTACTCGTCCATGTTAACCATGAATTGAAACACGGACCACAGTATACTGATGTTTTCAATATTTAACCAAGAAAAAAGCTTTTACCTTAATCCTAATCTGAAGTGCTTTTTTGTCTTGATTGAGAGAACATAGCGATATGTCTGTCCTTTAAAAGTATATAAAAATTATACGTCAGTATAAGGAGAAAGAGGGTTGTGAAATGAGCCGAGCAAGAATCTGCCTGTCATGTGTGCCACCCATACGACTAGTTGAACTGCCGTGATTAACGCGCTTGGCTGACTTTGCTGCCCTGCTCTCAGAGCCGTACAGAATCACTCCTTCACCCCTTATTAACAAATGCACATTTGTGGGTTTTAGAGTGGTTCGTAGACTTGACAGATGTTTTCGTCCTTGGCGCTTAATTATTTACCATCAACCTTAGGAAAATGGATGGTCGTGAAATAAAGCGTACTGTCAAACAAATCAGTTTGTTTGACAGAATGGGTACAAAAATAAACTATATAAAAAAAGTACAGTTTATTAGAATAAATGACACTGAATTTGTGATTTTATTTTTTTAATCTTATTATTTCCACATTCGAAAAGTAAAATTAGGATATGTTCATGTCAAATTTTGGGGAAAACCCAGAGTGTGAGAGTTATGTGTTGTGCAAGCAACTTGTGGTATTCATCATGCCATCAAATGTTGTGACAGTCTTTTTTAATTACTCTAACAGACTGTGAAAGTCCAGGGCAATGACATCTCACACAAGCTGCAGATCTCCAGAGTCAGCAAGAACGATGAAGGTCTATACGAGTGCCGTGTGACACGAGCTAACTACGGAGAGATTGTGGAGTACAAGGCCCAAGCCTGGTTGAAGGTCAACGCCACGTCCAGGCCCCAACGACCACTGCCACCTCCTGAGAAGAACTCCCTACGGCACCTGAAAAACAAGAAGCCAAGAAAGTCCAGCTCATCACTGGGGCAGGACATGAGTTCAGACCAGAGGGTGGTCTCAACTTCCACCTCTCACACATCCTCCAATACAGCTAAACACAACCCCGGCTCAGGTAAGGCCCACAGGGAGCGTTACATAAAAAACTGTGGAACACACAAAAAACCCTCCCATCACTTATGTTTTCACTACCACCATGAAATCCTGATTTGCAATGCTCTTGACACATTTGTGAGTCACCTACTTTGCTTAAAAAGTCTGCTTGGTTAAAATTCAAGATTACCAAGGATAGAACTTAGAATGAGGTTATTCAGCAACTGAGCTTACAATCGACTTCAGTTTTAAGAACTAACGTGCTCTCAGTGAAGTAGGAAAAACACCAGCACAGCTGTAATAGCTCAACATGACTACTAAAACTACATGACTTAAAATACTGTATGTGTGCCAACTAAAAATACACCATTGATTACTATGAGCCTTTTCACAAAGCTGCTAGCTTCCCCTGAAGGCTAAAGACTGACAACATTTGCAGCATTAACGCCTGCTTGAGAAATCCAAATTCATCTAAGCAAATATTTAGCATTATGTGTCTACTTTGGTGAATTCAGAGGAAGCAATTAAAGCTTCTCTTTTGCTCCACAAAAGTGACATGATTGGTTTGAATGAACTGAATTGGTAGATACTAAGCTAATGAATTGACTAGCATAATAGCTAATTATTAGCAAAACTTTGTTAGCAGTCAGTTGTCTAGCTCCAATGTTTTTAATGCACAAAATTGTGCAAAAGGCCATGGCAAAGTAAAAAGAAGAAGAAAAAAACATACACAAACTCACTGTACTGCAGAAGACCAGTGTTTTAAATTTTCATATTTTTAGTAAGCACGTATTGAAGCAGAGTGTGATTTATTTAATCTCATGTAGCATGTTATATTTGTCTTTTCTCAGTAGCCAGCTACAAGTCAATCACCTCCCTCTAACATCCCCAAAATGTTGCTTTAGGCTTTTAACTAATTCTAGGAGATAAGAACACTTTCTACTCTTGCATTCTTTTCAGTGAACACCTGTAAGTTTTCAAAATCATTTAAAGACTTTACTGTTAATGTCTAAGGCACTATATAACCCAGCCCCCAGCTGTGTTTAAGAAATGTTCATAAGCAGCCTAAAGTCTCCAGGCAGGACTCCTTGGGGGTCTCCACCTCCCCACACACACACCTTCTTACAGAGTGTCTCCTCGCTGTAGGCTCCAAGCTGCAGGCTCTGTGACTACACAGCTTAGTGTCACAGGCCAGCCAAAGCTGTATTGAATTCTTTTACAGATTTATTATAGTCACTGCAATATCAGTTAATTGTTATAATCATTCCAACATATAGCATTTCATGTTTTTTTACATCCTCACCAGCCCATAGCGATATAAAACACAAACACAGAGACAACATTAGGGCTAATCACAACATATAGTTTCACCATAATTAATTTTTTACCCACAAAAAGATTTGCCATTGAACTGCATAATGCTGGATATTTTAAAAGACGCTTAAATGTTATTATAATGCTACATAAACCAGCTCGAAATTACAATTACTTTCATTTAGGTGTAATATAATATTATGGCTAAGAATATCAACTCTACCTCTTTTCTTTAAGTATAGTGACGCTGAAAATCTTTGTGTACCATGTCATGCCTAAACATCTGCATTGAGCTCCCGGAGAATAGTGATGTTGAGGTCAGCTGAGTTTCCACTGAAGCAGTTAGACAAAAGTGAAGAAAACCCAAGTGAGAGTAAGAGATAACACACAGCAGCCAATCACAGCCAATAGAATTTCTCTTCAGTCACCTCTGTTGCTGAAATTTTATAGATTGTAAATAATTTACACTTCTGAGTAAGGGTTGATAAAAGTCAGCCAGATATTTCATCCAGCATATCCCATTAGACATGCCAACCACGGGTGAACCTAATCAAAAGAAGATTTCTGGCTCTGTCGATCAGCTGGACACCAGCCGCCAACCATGACATGTTAGTGAGAGGGAGAGAAGGTAGGCGACCCAAAAATCAGTCTCTCATAGCGTATCACTATATATAACCACCTATTAACCCTGCCTGTTTGTTGCTGACCAAAAGAGGATGGTTACCTGAGCAAACCTACCTGTTAAGTTGCTTTGAGTGTCTTTTTAGGGTTTTTTCTGGTAGAGTTTACTTAAAAAAGGCTTTAACAAAATGATTGTGATATTAAATCAGCATATTTTGCACGGGTGTTGATTTATCATTTTCACTTCAGTGTGTACAATCGAGGAAACTCATACGTCACCATTGAAACCGCAGGCGCCTCTGTAGTAACCTCCTCTCAATTTTCCCTCATGTGGTTTTATATAAATTTTCTCTCTCTCTTTTTTTTTGACTATCCGACTATGTTATAATTGCGCTGCTCCTCATCTCTAAATGCCAATCATTTCTCCACTGGGCAGACATTTCAAACACAAAGTGGACCCTGCTCTGGGCTCAGATAGCCCTCTGCACCGTGTAGCGAAACACAGAAAGATATTACTTGCCACTGAATAGAGGTAAAAAGTTGAATAATCCCCAGGGCTGCAGAGCCTGAGATTATGAGGCAGCCAAATTATGCTGACAACTGTGTTGCAGTGAGTCCTCTGTGTGGTGTGTCTGACACTGATAAATGCCTCTCTGTGGCTGCTCAGGCAGCCTTAGCCCCCTTCTCTGAGCGGCAGAGAGGTGGTACAGCTGAGGGCGACAGAGTTCTATTACAGCCACGCTCAGGTTTGAGGCAGATGAGCCACAATAGGCAAATGGGCTGAGATGAAATTAAACCTGGGAGAGTGCAGATATTTTCCTTTTCCGCATTGCTGCATCTGTAAACAATGAGGCGCTTTCCAGATGGGAGAATGGGACTGAGGCTGGTGGAGCGGCTGCAGTAGCAGAGTGGTTTGTTCACAGCTACTCCCCACCAGTGTGTCAGCTGTTGTTAGATCACAACTCGGCCTCCATCGTTCCTGGCAGTGTTGTTCTGTCAAAGCTCAGAGGTGACCGGAGCAGGGGAAAAAAGGAAAGAAAAATGTCCCCCAAGCCAGACTTGTCCCTCTGCCCCTGAGGCCAGCCTTGTTCCCGCACGGAGGTAAAAACAAATATGGACTCAGTTTGATTGCATAAGCATTCATCCAAAAAAAAGAGAAAAAAAAATCACTGACCTTGTTTTAAAGAACTACCATATTTTTTTAAACTGCCTCAACTGCGTATGTCTAAGGAAAGAACACCAGTGAGTCATCATTCCAGTAGGTGGTTGGGAACAGCACGACTGCTGTTCGTGGCTGCATTTCTATTGCTCAGGCACTCACATGCAATGGCAGTGTGTCGCTTCAGGTTTATTAATCTAATGTGGGTTCTTCCTTACTTGTCTTGTGGGTGCATCTAAATCTGTCTGCTATGTGTGAATGCTCAGCAGGAGGCAAAGCCCGGTCCTGAGCACCACTGAAAATTCACGGTGGATGAATGTAAATGTATTTGTTTTAAATGATACTTCAGCTGTGGCATTTTCAATTTTCAGCTACAGCTTTGTTATTTTCTGCATTGAAAGGGCTTATACTGACATCTACTGATTTGTTAAAACCAAAGTAAGGGTGCTGGGTGGGATGTGATCGTACATGCATATATTAGGATTGCAAGTGGTCCATAAAGGACAGCTATACTGGCCTCAGTCTGGATCAAACCTGATGGACTACACACAGCCCAGTTTTCTAGTTAAAGCCGTTGCTTCAGTGCAGAAATGTTTCTTGCAGTGTGTGTTCCTCAGTACCAAGTTTGTTCCCACATACTTGCTGGTTCCTACTTGAATCTGGAGCCCAGTCTTCTGAGGATGGACTTATATCTGAAGTTGAAATGAAGGATTTTCAACTGGAGCACTTGTTCCTGTTGGAGCACAGTGACACAACAGTCCAAGATGGCAACAGTGCACCAACAACATTAGCAAACTAAAACTTTCATTCTGTATTACTACTGTTACAATGTGACTCGTTAAACAAGCCACACCTACAACAATGACTGGGTTCTATTCATGAGTTTGGTTGCTTCCTTTTTTTGTGCAGTGCAACAAAGTAGTCACCCCAAGAGTGATGTCACTCTCAACTGGAACAGCCAGATAAATGAAATGCATCAACAGCACACAGTGTATATGGAAACTGCATGGATGAGGATAGTTCACAAACGAATGCCGTTGTTGTCTGTGTAACTCAAACTTAACATATTCACACATTTCATAATGATCATCACAGGGTTTAAAATTTATCAGTTTTCAAGGTTTTATTTGGTACCTGGTGCGCCTTTACTATACTACAGAATTAACAGAGGGTGAAGGATGGTCACAGATGGCACAGAGTGGCGAATCCTTCCAGACATTTGCTTGTTACATCCAGAGAAATATGATCATGAATACGAATGAATATGAATATGGCCATTCTTTCCTTTGAGGTAAATTGTTGCCTCACCTTTCCGGTAATTTTCATCTTCATTTCTGTTTACAATTAAAAGCCTTTACATTCTATTGTTTCTTTGAAGTTACACGTTCTTAAGGCATTTCTTGTGGTACCAAATTGTTAGTAATAAATAACTGTATCCGTGCTTTCTTTGAAACTCCAAAGTGTAACTGTACCAAGTTTGATCCAGGCCTGGGTGTTGTTGCCAGTTTTCTCTTTTTTTAATAATAAAAAGCACATAATACACCTAATAGTCTACGCTCCTTTAAAATTCTCTGGCAAGATGCTCAGCTATAAAAGGCCCATTACTGTCAAATTATCATCAAAGGTTATACAACCTGTATTGATGTGGAAGAAGGTGGTAAAGAACTGTACACCAGTATATTAACTTAAATATCACTGATTAAGCAACTGTTCAGTAGAAGTCTCTTAAAGACATTATAGATGTATACATTAGTCTTACTGCTCACAGAAGAAAAAACCCACATAGATTGTGTTATTTATTAATTAATTGAATTTTAGTAGATTTCCAGAATCAGTTGGGACTTTTGGTAAAAACTGCCAGCAAAATCCCGTTGGCGTCGGCACTTTGGTCCATTTATAACAAACGTGTGCTGAGGAAGGCTCGTGTT